ATAGATCTACTTGTTTTAACCATTTTTAAAATTTAAAATTTTATAATTAAATATAAAAATAAATTTTGAGATAATCCTAAGAACATTTTACATCAAAATTATATACCATGAAAAAATTTGGATGTGTACCTTACCTCTATAAGTACGGATGTATCCGTATGCCAACTGCACCCTTTGTTGAGTCAATTATCAAATGGTCTATAGTGGGAGCAGTCTAACCTAGCTTTTTTTTTATAATATATATAATACAAAAGGTCAAATAAAGTGCAATACGAAGATTTGAGATGCCAATAGATATTCTACTCCCTCGGGAGTATTATTGTTCATTTACTTCATAGGGTCAAACCCCACCTAATATTACTCTTAGGACCCCAAATTTTGGGGAATAAAAATTTCTAATTGCACCTTTTAAACACTTTGGAAAAAATAATGTCTCAAAATTGTATAGAAACTATCAAATTTTTAGAATGTGAAATCCAAGTATTAAAAAACTCAATTTAATTTTTTTATTTTTTTAGAGTAATCATTTGAGGAATCTAAGGTCTTTATCAAAATTTCAGATTGAAAATATCCTCCCAAGTAAATCATCTGACTGAGGAAGCAAACTATCCTCCCAAGTAGGCCACCCCGAGGGAACATAATATATGTGCTCATTTGAAATATTGGATCGCAGTAATTTTTTTGCTTTTAAATATGGTTGAAAAATAGAAACATCGGGGCCGGTTCTTATGGAAAAAACAAGAAGAAGAAAAAAACAAAAACAAAAACAAAAACTAAATTGTTTGATTACTGGAATATGGAATGAAAAACAAAACTGGAATAAAAACCCACTAGAAAAAAAAAGGAACGAGATATAAAATTGCAAAAATACGGACCATGCATTAATTAGGCCTTTGGCCTTTGTTTTCAGATCCGTAACATTTATTAAGCGAGGTGGTTCTACGATTCTTCTAACTCGATACCAGAAGTCCACTATCGGATTAGCCACTGACTCCGTTATCTGTTGTGCTTTCATACTCTACTTAAGTCTTTACATTATCACTAATTCTAAGGCAATAATAATAAGTTAATAACAAAGTGTGCAATGCACAATGAGTTTGAGAAATGGGTGTGGTTTGTATAGAGCCGGGGCTCTAAACAATCAAAGTCGATCCTATATTCAAATAGTGTCGAGAAATGTAGTTTCAATATTGAAGATCTTTATGATGGCTTTAAAATATATTTTTCATATCTAATTATAAAATTTACAGTTTAAAAAATAGTATAGATTGGGCAGATCTATGAAAACTTGAAATTTTTTAAAATTGACTGTCGAAAAAAACATTACAAGATACACCACTTTCAAAACTTGAAATCTATATATTTTTTAATTTTCATGTCAAAAAGATCAATTTGAGGATATTTAACATAAAATTTTGGAGGTAGGCTCTGATTTGATTGTTTAGAGCCTAAGCTCTATGTATGGTTTTTCCTCGAGGAAATAGGTTGGAATCATGATGTTGGTATGTTAAAATGATTGATTTTTAAAGCGTAACAACAAAACCTCTGCCCACTGTGTGATAAGATATGAAGAATGCTGGGGGATATGTTTTCATCAAGATGCATTTAAGTAAGTCCGTATATACCCATCCAAAAGAAAAATCCGAACATTCTCAGGTGTACACTGTGCATTTACTCAGTCGGGTGAAACCCCGCCCAAGATTACTTTTAGGACCCTAGTTTTGGGATATAATCTCCTTAACAAATAGATTAACTTCAATTAAAATTTTCCTATTGCACCCTCTAAGCACTTGAAAAAAAAAAAGTCTTAAACTTTTCCTATTGCACTCTCTAAGCAGATTGAAACAACAACAAAAAAAAAAAGTTCCCATGTAGGACATTTGATCGAGGGAGTAGAAGAAAACCATGGTCCTGAGGGAGCATAATGTTAAGCGCTGAAAAAATGTAAATAAGATAGTAGCATGTACAATTGAAACATTTTCAGGTTTAATAGGCATACTTTGAATATCCCAAGGCAATACTCAATTAGGAAGCATGCATTTTTAAAAGAAGCAAGGTTTTACTGCTTGAATAAATCGAGGCCCCTTTGGGGCTATAGAAATGGTGAAAGTAGGGTGATCCGTGACGACTCCTTTGTACGCTGAGATATCAGCGTCCCATGCACTGTAGAGAGAGAAAATAAAGAGAGAGAGAGAAAGCATAGATATAGAGAGAGAGAGAGAGAGGAGTAGAGCCTGGAAACATACGGAGAAGAGTATTTAGAGATAGAAAAAAGAGTGGGGAGGGGGGGTTGGGTTTGAAACATACGGGAGAGAGAAGAGGGGGACAGGGCGGGGGAGAGGGAAATCCGTGCATTGCAAAGATGCGTGGTGGGAAAGACAAAGGAAATGGAAAAAAGTGGGGTTAGAGAGAGAAAGAGAGAGAAGGAGGGAGGGCAGTTTGGATTGAGAATAAGTGTGAAAGGCACGAGTCAGGGTGGTACATTAAATGAGAGGGGGCAAGTGATGAGGCTTATGATAGGCCTTATGATCGTCATGTCGTTTTTGCTTCGCGTCTTCCAATGACTCCCAGAATTCCACGCTTCGCTTTCCCAGCCTCCTTCCACAAACCCTTTTCTCTCTCTCTCTCTCTTTCTCTCTACCAAAACACTCTCTCTCTCTCTCTCTCTGTGAACTGTGAAATACACACCTCTCTGTTCCCTCTCTCTCTCTCTAAAGATTGAACAGTCAACCCATATTGCGTTGCGTTTACCAACACCCTACACATGCTACTACATAAGCTAGACTGTAACCTCAGGTGATATCGGGCTTCTTCTCATCAGTGAGATTTGAGTTTCTCTCTCTAGCTCACAACGCTTGGTTTTATCTTCTTCTCATCAGTGAGATGTGAGTTTCTCTCTCTAGCTCTCACTGCATTTGTTTTTCTTGTTTAACCTGTTAGCCTCAAACTCGAAGCTGATCATCATCATCACGGAGCTAGCAGTTTGTTAGTTGGTGATTGATTGTAGGATGTGGATGATGGGTTGCAGTGATAGCAGTAGCCTAAATATGTCGGAGTCATCGTCTTCTTATAGTAGTGGTACTGTGAGGAGGCTCCGCCCTCTTATTCCTAAACCCCACCTCTTCCCAAATGCTTCTTCTTCGACTTCATCACCTTCGTGTTCCACCTTTTTGGGTCACTCGCAGGGGGACAAGTACTTCACCCATAATCTTCCTGGTAAGTTAGGATTCTTCGATTTCAATAGATCTATGTCCTAGAGAGATAGAATGCTAGAGAGAGAGTGCGTTCCCTTGATAGAGAGAGATTGTACTTTGGTTTTTAGGGCTTGTGTGCTAGAGAGAGAGAGAGAGAGAGAGAGAGAGAGAGAGCATGCACATTCTTGTTAAAACTTGGTCGTGTGTTTTATTTAACTAAAAACTCCTGAATCTCACGAGTAGGAGGATCAGATCAAGGAAGGCGAGACGCGGGGGCTCAGCCCACGAGCTCGAGGTGGAACCCAACCCCGGAGCAGCTCCGGACGCTGGAGGAAATGTACAGGCGCGGCACACGCACACCGACGGCAGACCAGATCCAATACATCACAGGCCAGCTCCGCCGCTATGGCAAAATTGAGGGCAAAAACGTTTTCTATTGGTTCCAAAACCACAAGGCTCGTGAGCGACAGAAGAGACGCCGTAGAATCGAAGCGGCCATGGAGCTCGGCTCCTGCATTTGTAGAGAATTCGAAAGCCAAGACAAAAAGGAACAAGGTAAACTAATGCGTGTTGGTTTAGTTTAATGAAGTGAGTTTACATCTTTACATATCAAGCAAAATAAACTTTTCATAAATATTAACGAATTTATGGTGTATGAATACCAGTGTTTTGTTTATGGTAAATTCATGAATATAAATACTTAATATATAAGAAAACCCATATTTTTGTTGTATTACTGATAAATACATGCGTTATTTTTATGCATGATTCTTGCTGAATACCAATAGGTCCGAAAAGAGCAAAAAAGAAAGAAAAGAAAACAGATGCTGATTTTTTTTTGGTGTGTTATTCTAGTTGAATACTAGTGTTTTTTTCTTTTTACAATTTCTTTTACGATTTTTTATGCATATGATCTACTTCTTTGACGTGTATTTCTATTGATGAATACTAAAGCTTTTTTTTTTTTTTTGGGTCTGCTACTTTTTTTTATGGACATAAATTGTGATCAGATTCATTTGGGAGGAGGTGGGGAGGGTTGGAACTGAGCAAGAATTGGGCGCCTGCGCCCACAAGCTGCTGTACCATGCGGACGACGGAGGTTAATGATCGATGTCCTTCTTCTATGAATGCATACTTCTTTTAGCTTTTAACCAAAAAAGAAATAAAGGAGAGGCACAAAGCAACTGAGCTTTTTCCATTGGGAAGCGAAAAAATGGAGAGGCAAAAAGGAAAAGGTCTCTCAAAAAGTCTGCTTTACTTCCTTCCTGTCGGCTCTCCTTGTGAAACATGCTGTTTTTTTGTGCAGGGAGGCGGTCTAGAGAGAGAAGAAGAATGGGTGCAATTACCCACTTTCACCATTACTGGCAACACTACTGCTCCCAAATTTCAAAGCACTTATGCTGAGCTCTTCGGCGAGAGAAATGCATCTCAACGCTCTGGTTTTGATGTTCGTGAGGATAGAGAGGGAGAGGTTGAGACTCTTCAGCTGTTTCCTCTCACCAGCGATTCGGTCATTCAAGCCAAGAGCAACGCCGCCACCATTGCTCCGAACCAGCAATCGCCCTGCAACTTCTTTGAGTTTCTTCCTTTGAAGAATTGAAACCCATCTCCAAATGCGAGAAACATTAGCCATGCCACCCTTTTAGAGAAGCCTTCTTCCTCTCTCTCTCTCTCTCTAGTGAAGTCCTGGTTCTCGTTACCTCTCTTATTTTTGTTCTTTCACGGAAGAGGGCATAGAATTAGAAAGGCATTCAGATGTTTAATGGAGCTCTCTCTCTCTCTCTCTCTCTCTGTCTTGTCATTTTTTTTCTTTGAATTTGGCAAAGGAAAGCGAGATGTTTTAGTCGTTGCAGCTTTGTGCTTGGAAGTTGGACGTACTGTTTTTATCAATTTCTATATACTATGTTCATGGTGGAAGAAGGTTAAACATGAAATCCCCATGGCCGAAAAGGTTACCAAAAATAAATCACATTAATGTTTTTTAGACTTGAAAGGAATGAGGATCTCTCCGCTCAATGCAAAGAGGTCTCAGCTATTTAGTAGACCCTGTTTTCGGAAATGTAGATTATAGGCATAGGGTTGTGGAGGATGGGGACGTATTAAACCCTAGGCCTGGTGACATTCTGTTGGGATTGCGATGGGGTGGGGGGAATGGGGATTAGGGTAGAGAGAGAGAGAGAGAGGGATGGCATGATTGGGATTTGGGTTAGAGAGAGAAAGAGAGGGGGAATTTGTTTTCTGATATGATAGCTTCACTACTGTGCAAAAGGTTTAGTGTTTTAGATATGGGGAACGGGGGCAGGGCAGGGCAGGAGTTTTGAGATTTTGCTGCACGTTGGCAGTGGGGCATCGGCGGCTGCACATTCTTTTTTATTCTAGCCAGCCGTGCGAGGGGCCTTGTGGTCCCGGAGCTACACTTTGGAGAGCGTGTGTAGACAGAATGAGCTTGCGATGGAGACCGCCTGTAGAAAGAAGGGTACAAAGAGAGTTTTGGAGGGGTTCTAGAGCACTGTCGGAAACCATGACTCGCGATGGAACTCAGCCTTGGGCTCAGCCTGCGTGGTCCAATAACTGGGACCGAGGTCCACGTAACTCCGACCTGAGAGGGGTAGGGTTTAGCAAAGTTAAAAAGTGTTGGAAAATTCAAAATATCTCTAGAATTTAAAAAATAGGTTTTGAAGTAAAATTAAACAAAATACCTCTTAGGTTAAAAAATAGGATGCGGATTGTATAGAATCGAGGATCTAAACAATCAAAGTGCACCTTCAAATAGTATCGAGAATGTAGTTTAGATACTGAAAATCTTTGTGATAGTCTCAAAAATAGAAACCACCTGCGGCCCAGTAAACAAAATACATCTAAATGAGGTGAATGGGGTTGGGTGGTGGTGGTAGCACCACCTAAGTTCTACTTTTTCCATTCTCACCTAATTTTCCATTAAGAAACCACTAATAAATCAATTCAATTTGTAATTGGAGGTATTTTAGAGATGATCCAAGAAAGATAAAATAACATAAAAGAAGTATTCATCGCCAAATCATTTTCTAAACTGCGCCAAATAAATTTCTTATTTTTAAAATTTTTTAAAATCCCCTGGCTTAAACACTAAATAGGGATACTCGGCACGTTGTTCGGGTGAATCCAGGTTCGCTTTCCTGAATGGTCGAATACCGATTTAGAGAGAGAGAGAGATAGAGTCATGGCATGCTTATGGGAGGGAGAAAGAGGGCATGGTAGAGGCGAGCAGGAAATTTAGGGGAGAGAAAGTCGTAAAACCCCATTGGAGTAGATAGAGATTTCCTGGACCTGTAGAGAGAGAAAGGGGGTTTGGAGAGCTTGTTGTGATGCAGAGAGAGAGAGAGAGAGAGAAGTCCGCTCTGAGTTTGGAAGCGAAAAAGAAGAGAGATGTCAGTGTCGGGAACAGTAACAATAACAAGACGTGGAGGAAAAAAGAAAGGGAAGGAAGGGGAAGGGAATGAGTTAGGAAAGAGTGATGCATGGATTGATGAATAGATGGATGGATGATATGATGAGATCATCATTTGGGATTTGGGATTTGGGATCACACCACCACGTAAAACGCCGATTATGAGCATGGGTTTCACGCGCCCCTGGTCGTGGGCGTACCCCCTTTTTCTGCTGTGGTCCCCTCTCTTTCTCTTTCTCTTTCTCTCTCTAAAACTGATGACAGGGTTGGTGCTAAAATTCGGCTACAACACTGAAAGGCTTATAAAGTTGGCACGAGCCGTCCATATCTGTCCTCTAGAAATTTGGATCAAAGTATCTTTTTGCCACCTCTACCAATTTCCAAAACACAAACCGAGAGATGAAAACAAACACACATACCGCTACGGGATGAAAATATATTCATGCCAGTATTTCCCAATATAAAAACATAGGTGTCGGAAATTTTCACACCAATTGGTCCCAATGTACCTTTTCCCACGCAGCCAATCAGTAAAAAAAAAAAAAAAAAAAAAAAAAAAAAAAAAAATAAACTCTTGTAAAAAACAAAGCGTGAAAAAGCTCTCACACCTAATTTATATGGGGGGAGTCATTTTATGTGAAAATACTTCCACCAAAATATATTCAGGATCGCCAAACGTGCTTTTGGAAAATGGAGTATGATTTCAAAAGGATCCTCAAACCTTTTAACATATGTAGGAGACATCAATGGCAAGAGCCTAAACTAAATGAATGCTAGGTAAATTTCACGAACAAACCAAGAGGTTTAAAAATGGTGAGGTATGTATAAGGTGTCCACTTTATATTATGCAAGTGAGGTGCACCCTAAATTTTTTCGAAAGATATAGTTCGGTGTTGGAAACCTTACGATGGATTGAAAATCCATGTTCAACAATATTTAGAAAATTTGAATTCCTAAATGCAATGCTAATTGAGCATATATATAAACCCTTTAAAATAATGAAATAGATGGCCCAGATAACTTATTATAAGATGAACTATTTTTTAGAACTTAAAATTTATTTATTTTTTCTTTGTACCATACATCTCAAAATTGAGATGATCAGTTGGAAAGCTTTCAAACTTTATAACACTCTTTTCTACCTAATCACCTTATTTCTATGTTATAAGGTTCCAAACTGATATAAACTTTTTCCTTTCAATAATGATAGTTGGAATGGGGATATCCATTTGCTTTTCACTCGACACATACAATTGTTCAGCATTTAAAAGTTGGACTATTCCAATTCTATAAATTCGAGACAAGCAACTCTCGAGTCAAATGGGACTACAAGTCACAAAGAAATTAAAAATGATAAAATAATTTGAAAAATCAGGCCATATCATGGATTTCCCATTAAAATTTTCAATCTCCACGAAAGAGCGAACGGGGGCTAATGATTAGAGAGTGAGCGAACGGGGACTAATTTTAGTGCTGAACATTCTCTCCAAATTCCATAAAAAAACTCCTTATAATTCGGAGAAATCCCGGTTTTACTTGTTGGAGGCTGTCATGTCTAACTAACAGTTCTTTAGTAGCCGGTGAACACGAATCATGGCTGCCTCTGAGAATGGAAAAGATATCAAATTGCCTCCAAATAATCTGAAATAGGTTTATCATGTGGAACATCCAACAAGTTTCATGCCAATCCAAGATGATAGATTTGGGACTAGTGGCCAGGAAGATGAATTTGAAGATGCATCAAGTGGCATCCAGACCTTATGAAACTTGGATGGCAAGGTAATAATGTCTTAATATGAAAATATTGGAAAATTTCACCCCATTCCAATATCATTTGGTGGGGTTTCTCAAGAACGGGTTCTGGGGCCTCTTGATAAATGGTGATTCACAAAGGGGTATAACTCCTTATCAAAACTCTACCAATTTTGACTAATGGGCTTATGATGATATTGAATAAATATTCCCAAAGCTTGATCTCACTGAGCTATCCAATGACCAGTTGCAAAGCCTTTTAGGGCATGTTAGACCCTAGATGATAAGGCCTCGATATATCTGCATTCTCCACCTTGTTGAAGCTTCGTACATGGCTTCTAGGAATATCATTCCAATTACCCATGAGATCTTAGGCCTAAGAGAGCCTCCTTTATCAAATTTGAGCAGGACCAAGCCATAAGGTAAAGTTTGGAAGCCCAGTTCCTTGGAGATGGGTCAATAAAGGTCCAATCACTATATAATTAAAGTTAAAGTCTCATCATATCTTCAACAATTAGTTGATGGAATTTGATGTGGATCCGAACCCGGCCGGGGTTGATTCTTGAATAGGCTAGCGGCCAGGCATATGGTTGTCCTTAACAGCCGATGGATCCCTTTCTTCCTTCAATGGACTCAGCGTTCGGTGATGTTCCAAAACATACCCAACCAACTCGACCCACACCAACCGAGCGTCGACCATCAATCGTCGGTCATTCAATGGACGAACTCGCCCCACCCTAGTTAGCTTAACATATCTTGGTTAGCCTAGTGCACCACCCAAGTTACACCAATGGTGTTAAGTGCGCCTCAAGCTCCCTTTACACTAGTATTATACATCATCCATAAAAGCTAGTATGGTCCCGAGATGTTAGTACACTATATATATATATATATATATATATATATATATAAAATAATTTGTTATATACATAAATTATAAAATAATTCTAAAATTATGATAAGAAATGATCCTATAGGACCCTCCCTCACCCATGTGTGTAGGACTCTAAAGGATTACCATTAAATTTGGTACGGATCTATAAAAAAGTCAAGTCTCACACCCATGTGATAACTTTTCAAAAGATCCATGCCAACTTTAGTGGTGATCCTTTGGGGTCCAACACATATGGGTGGGGGAGGGTCCTATAGGATCAATACTCAACTATAATATGTAAAACTTAAAAAAAAAATATTCATTTATTTTAATAGAGAATAAGGTTATATAATATTGCAACCTTAAAATGTAGAAGTAAAGATTCACCTCAAAAAACCATGTTGTTTTAAGTTTGAAAAAAACCTCTAATTGATCATCTCGATATTGAGATGGGTGAATATGAAAAAAGATAAAAAAGAATTTGAGTCCCAAAAATAGTGCATCTTGCAACACATTATCTAGACCTTCCATTTTCAAGATTTTCACATGTTTATAGATCTACTTTATTTTAACCGTTTTTGGAGTTTAAAATTTTATAATGAAAGAAGAAAATAGATTTTACGATAATCCTAATAATTTTTAACACAAAAATTCCATATTATGATTGTTTAAGGTTGCAACCTAATGGAAACCACACCCTTTTAATAATGCTTTTTAAAATTTGAGTAAAATTAATAAGGGAAAGTATATAATGCGACCATTTACCTTTAATACAAGGTGGTAACTATTAATCTTGATC